TATTTCTAACCAGGACAAGTTTGACAAAGTTTCAGATTTTTTTTTATATTGTTCATACTAAAATCCCTTTTGTAAACGTATTTTATTTGAATTTTTTTGTCTTTATTGTTCACTGAAAAAGTAAGGGTTTGACAAGTATCTTGATCTGATAGCCATATGGAATGTGTCCTTCCAATTGCTGATGGAATGTTACTTACTATCTGATCTAACTATATCAAATAATGGCGGCTGCATAGACGAGATCAAGCGGCGAATGGCAATTTCTAGGTCAGCTATGGACAAGCTGAAGAAAATATAGAGGGATCGAAATATTACTAAAGTCACAAAAACACGACTTGTCAAGGCTCTCGTATTCCCCATTTTCCTCTATGCTGCTGAAACAAGGACTATCCGGGAAGGTGAGAAAAAGCGGATCGACGCTCATGAGATGTGGTGCTGGAGAAGAATGCTCGGTATATCATGGACGGAATTCCGAACCAATGAATCCGTTCTTCTTGAGATAGGCATCAAACAAAGATTGTCGAGCATAGTGCGGGCTCGTGTTCTCACTTTCTTTGGCCACATAACACGACGCGGGGGTGAATCCATAGAGGGCCTGGTAGTGCAAGGAAAGATTGAAGTTACCAGACCACGCGGCAGATCACCCATGAGGTGGACCGATCAAATAAAGAAAACATTAAACAAACCGCTGCATGAATGCACGAGAAGAGCGAGAGTTCGGGAGGAGTGGCATCGCATTGTGAAGCAGGCCACTAATGTCGACTTGACGACCACGACCACTCTGTCAAGAGTGTAGCGCCTAAGAAGAAGAAGAATCTGATCTAAACAAGACTTTTTACGTGTTGGTTCTGTGATATGTATAAATGTTCCATAGTTTTCGTTTATTCTAATATACTCAGTTCCAATCTGACTTTCTTTTAATATATTAACATTGAAATCCCCAGTAATTATAATGTTTGTATTTCTCCTATACCTTAATTTTGAGAGCAATGTCTCAAAACGGTTAAGAAAAATATTGGAGTTCGATGTTGGTATTCGATAAAGACAGATAACTATGCATTTTATATGAGAAATTTCAATGCCACAACATTCAAATGAGTCTTCAATAGCTAGTTCCTTTACGAATGGAATTTTCTTAAATCTATAGTAATCTTTGCATAAGATGTATACGCTAACCCGTCGGATCCTAGATCTACTATAATAATAGCTAGGCAGAAGCCACTTAAATGGAGGTTTCTTTCCTCTCCTGATTTCAGAAAAATTTCACTTAAGCATATTATCTCTATTTCTTGTCCGTTTTCAGAAAACTCGTTTAATATAATCTGAAATACGTCACATTTGCTCAATATACCAGCTATATTTTGATGTAATAAGATCAATGAATCACCACAGTCATTTCCGAAAAAACAAGTCTCTTTTTGATTCGGCTACAGGAGAAACATTTTGTTCATTGTTACTATTTTTTTTATAAGTAATATATTTCAAATATCTCCTTAAAATAAGCTCCACTACATTCCCGTTTCTGATATATTTGATCATCGTCTTGTGTTTGTGTTGCTTTTTTAAAACTTGATACATTAGGCGTTGTATGGATGGCTTTGGGGAGATGTATTGAAAACACCAGATTGATATTAAGACTGTCATTTATTAATAGTGTCATTGATTATATAGGAGTGATTATATGGCTACTATTATAGTATACGTATCTTACCTTACATCCCCATGGAAGGGGAAAACAAAACAAAATTAGTAAATACAATATTTTAGTTTTGTTTTATAAATGCATTACATAAATCTTTATTCAATTACATACGATTACAATGTTTGTTTACATTCTAAGATTATAGGTTTTATCTATATAGTATACCTATTGATAATAATAATAATAATTTATTTGCGTTTGAATAGGGTATACAAAAAAGATGTAAAAGGTAATACAATTTTCGCCTATTCAGCCATTAACAATAGCATGCAAATGTAGTAAAAAAGATACTATAAGCACTGATAAATCCACCCAGGCTACCGTTCAGTTTCTATAGTCTAAGAATTCATGCAACGAATAAAAGGAACGCTCAGCAAGCCAGTTATATAACTCTCTCTTAAATCTAGTAAAAGGTGTATTCTTTATAGATTCCGGAATCTTATTAAATATTGTTTGACACATACAGTAGCAGTTATTTTTAAATCGCGCGCTTTTTGGGACCATGTCAAGAACTAGCCTATTTTTATTTCTAGTTTTCCTGGGATACACTTCATGAGCAATTTTGTAATAATCAGGGTATCGTTTGGCAAATTTCGCTGCTTCAAATATATATAAGCAAGGAAGAGGTAGAATACCAAGAAATTTAAACCATTGCTTACATGAGACGTCGGGAGCGATACCACATATGGATCTTATGCATTTTTTTTGGGCAATAAATACCCTTTGCGCATCTGTACCATTGCCCCAAATAATAATTGCATAACGTAAAATTGACTCCACATAAGCGAAGTACGCTGTGAGAGCCGTACTTCTTGTCGCTACTCTCGATAATTTAAATAATGCAAATGAGAAGCTATTTATCTTATTACAAACAATTTCTGCATGTTGTTTCCAATCTAGTTTCTTGTCAATAGTTATGCCTAAGAATCTAACGTTAGTAGCTTCTTCAAGCGTGCATTTTTGGTATTTAATAATCAAGTTATTAGAAATTAAATTATTAAAATTCATAAAATATGTCTTATCTATATTTATTGTCAGATTATGGAATTTAAGCCAGTTTATTATGGTCATTATTGTATTATTTATGTCGTTTTCGTGGTCAGAAATTTTCATATTATTATTAGTCGTCACTACCACTGATATATCATCAGCAAATAAGATACTTTTATGTGTAGTTATATTTGGTAGGTCGTTAATATACACCAAAAATAAAAGAGGTCCAAGAACACTGCCTTGTGGAACTCCAATGTTTTTACTTTTAATTCTGATTGATACTTTCGATTTATGCCCTTTGAATCTAATTTAGTTATTTCAACAGATTGCATTCTATTTTGTAAATATGTTTTAATCCAATTTAAAGCTGTACCTCTGATACCATTGTTATATAATTTTTTTAGTAGTTGTTCATGAGAAACGAAATCGAATGCCTTTGACATATCAAAGAAAAGAGCTGTTGTATATTTGCTTTTGTTAATACTTTGTAATTTTTCGTTAATTAAGTCAAAGGTGGCAAGTGTAGTCGACTTATTTTTTTGAAAACCATGTTGATTAGTTTTTAGCACATTATATTTATTAAAAAACGATGTTAGTTTGTTATGTATAACTTTTTCATATATCTTTGATAAAACTGGTATCAGTTTAATGGGCCGATAATTTTTTTAAATAGTTTTATCGCCTTTCTTATATAAAGGTTTGACAATAGAGTGTTTTAATTTATTAGGAAATATTCCCGTTTCCATTGACAAATTTATCAAAAATGATAGAATAGGGCTAATTTGTTCTTTACATATTTTTATCACATATGTACATATATTATCATAGCCTTCAGATTTTGTATTATTTAATGTCATTACAACTTTTTCAATATAGCATTCGTCAATGGGAGTAAGAAAGATTGAATTGTTTAATATGTCATTTGAGTATTTAATTGTATTATTAATGTCATAATTATTATTATCAAAATTATTGGTTAAATTTATAAAATAATTATTAAAAATGTCTGAAATATTTGAAGGATCAGTAATAATGTTACCATTAAATTAAATTTTGTCAATATAATTATTATGATTTGTCATATCAATTTCAGTTTGTATAACTTTCCATGTGGCTTTTGATACATTTTTACTTTTTAGTACAAACTTCTTATTCGTATTTTTTTTAGCTAAGAAAATGCATTTTTTCAATGTTCTAGAATATTCGTGATATTTGTGTTTGTTGTAATAGATCTTTTTTTTATAATACTTAAGTCTTAGTTTTCTATTTATCTGACAACTTTTCTTGATTCCTTTTGAAATCCATCGCAGATTAGAACTTGTATTAATTTTTGATTTTACAACAGGAAAGCAAAGCCGGTAAAGCAAACAGAACCAATCATAAAATATATTAAATGCTATATGTGGATCTGTATTGCTATGTATTTCCAGGAAAGATAGACTAGATAAGTGTTTTTTAAATTTTATAACATTTTCATTCGAATAACGTCTTTTAAATATATAAATTGATGTTGGTATAATCTGTTTTAACTTAGTGTTAAGACTCAAAATCTGTGCTGTGTTGTGACCAGATAAGTAAAGTGGAAGTAGGAATCCCAATGCACCCCTTACGTTACTGATTATATGATCTAAGCATGACTCTCCTCTAGTGGGATCAGTTATATGCTGTTTTAAATTATATTTGTTTAGGATGTCTTTAAACTGTTTAATAACTTTACTATTTGCAATTGTATTGATATTAATATCTCCTGTTATTATTATTCTCTGTTTTTTGAATTTATGTAAATAGGTATTCAGTAACAGTTCCAATCTATCAAAAAAATATTCGAAATGTCTCTTTTTTGTCGCAGTTGATGATCTGTATACACAAACAATTAGTAGGTTATGCATAGGTATACTTATTGAACATTCCTCAAAATGAAAGTTAACGAGATAATTATCAAATGTAAGTATTTTTTTAAAAGTTATTCCTCTCTTTACCATAATACAGGAACCACCCCTACTTTTGTTCCTAGAATAATGTGATGCCAATTCATAATTATTGATGTTTATATTTTTTTCTTCCCCGTTTTTTACAAAAGTCTCAGTGAAGCATAGTACATCAGGACATAATTTATAATTAATCTCAGATAATGTAATTTCCATGATTTCTTTTTTGGATAGTAATCCCTGGATATTTTGATGAAAAACTATAAATTTATTGGGTGATTCGGGCTCGAAAAAACTCGGGATTTTTTATGGGTTTGCTGGCCGTTTCCTTTATCTTAAAATAATATAGTATTGTGCCTTTTTTATATACTATGGAATTACTCCTTTCCTTCAGTTTTATGGCCTGTGAATTTTGTTTGCTTATACATATTAATTTAGATTTTATGAATTCATTTCTTGATGTCATAAAATTTTTAATGTACTCGTTTTCATATCTTAAAAAATCTATTTCTATATTTATTTTAAAGCAGAGTTTGTTTATTTGTAATTTATTTTGATATGCATAGTCAATACTAATGGGTTGATCAATGCCTATGAATTTACAATTTTTAAAATTTTGTAGTATTAAGTTAATTTTGGTATTTAATTTACGAACATTTAAATAGTTATTACGTCGTATACTTAAGAAAAACACTTTACACTTTAAGTTACATAAGGTGTTGCATAAATTTGCTATAACTGTGTATGGGTTATTATCGTTAGTTCCTAAAGACAAAATCAAAACGTCGCCCTTTTTCAAAATGTCCTGTATCGATAAGACACTATTCACGATTTGCGTACTCGGGGCGAACGGCTTCGTAATACTGCTGATGTTGTAACAATCATTCCATTTTTCAGACCGCGTCTTTTTTAGTTGTTCTGTTAATCCTTTAACTTGTTCATCGCCAATTAAATAGATGGTAGGTTTTGTGTAGTGTGATTGTTCCTCCATAGAGATATTTCCTTCTAAATTCGAAGGCGGAGTTGATATATAGACATTGCGATATGTCACGGTGGTAACGTAATTTTGATCGGAGGTAAGTAATTGTGAGTAGGTTCCATGACTGTCACTAGATGGCGCAATTATACTCTCATCCTCATTAATGGAGCAATTGGACATTGGAGGATTTATTTTCTTTTTTCTAAAAATTATATTATCCTTAGGGCTAGAATTACATATTGTGTATTTTTTTAATTTATCCTCTTGTTCTGAAAGACTTTTCTTTAAATTTGCGTTTTCTAATAATATGTGTTCAATTTCAGTTTCAGCACTTTGTAGTTTTTCTTGTAAATCTCTGTTTTGTTTCTCCAATTCGTGTATTTTTTCTTCCATATTAAATCTTCCAACCTCCAAACAATTTCCATGCAATCTACTGTTGTGCGATATAGAGGTAAAATCCGTGCTTTCTTCATCAGATAAGGATTCAAATGAGTTATTAGTTGATAGATTAATCTCCCAACTGGTGCCTTGTGTAGAATAGCATTTGTCGCATTTCCAGTTTGATTTGTTTTCATTGGTCATTAAGTAAAACCTCTTCGTGGATACACTTGTACTGTCCAAATGGTAAGGCTCATTACAATAAGCGCATTTTAAAAAATCTCTTTTGGTTATTGATTTATCACATATGGCGCAGCCTTGCTCCATCTTACGGCTGCTATGATAACAAGAGATAGATAAATCGATACTCGATGTTAGATGGCAGCACCGAGGCAATAAAATGTCAATATATTGTAGGTTAATAAGAATCAGCTGGCGCTTTGAATTTTCAAACGGTTTTAGTATCAACAAATTTGATTTTTTTTTCCTCTTCCTGATATTTCTCCTCACTCTAAATGAGCTACAGTGTTAAATCAAGCCCAATGAGACTCAATAATATTTCAACACAAAAAACTGTCGCTGCGGAGGTTTGATCCGCGTCTCTTTGAGTTCTATACCAAGCGTTTCAGACGTTTACGTTGTCGCTACTTAGCACATATGTAGTTGCGGTGGTCAATTTATCGATCGCAATCTTCGTATACTGATTTTAAATCATACGAATGTCGTTATGATGATTCATGTTAAAATATTTTTTGCACACTTTTTAATTATTTTTCATTTTTTGTGTTATTATTAATTATTCAACAAAGTCAGTTTGCTAACACTATTAATTGTTTGTTTGTATTTCACTTATTAACACTGTTTATTGTCACTGTTAGCACTTTTATAATGTTTTTGTTTTAATTGTTTTATGTTCAAGCAAAATGTCAGATAACATTAACACTTTATATTTGAGTATTTAAAAGCCGATTTATCTTATTTTCTGGTTCAAATCACCACTTTTTATATTTTTTAGCAACACTTAAACACGGAGCTTATCTTTTCGTGACGGCAGCGCCATCTGTTATTTTTTTCCCATCTGTTATTTTTTTGATGACTAATGTTGACTTAGCTAGAACTAATAACAACAACAAAGTATACTTTTAGCTTACATTATGATTACAGATTTATATATTTGGTTCTAAATATAGTTTAGTTCTATTTTTATGAATAAGGTCAATTTTTCCTTTTTTTAGAATTTCTACATTTGGTGATAAGTCTCTTATCACACGATATGGACCTGAATATAAGCTTTGCAATTTATTTCCCGTCTCGTTTTTAATTAAAATTAAATCATTATGTCTATATTTGATAGGATTTATATTACAATCATATTTATGTTTTTTAATTTGCTACATATTAAATTCTTGCGTGCTTCTTTTTGTGTTGTTTGGATTCTATACTTTAATTCTAAGGAATACGAGTCAAAATTATAAAGCGGATCGACAAGATCTTGTAACAAATTAGATGGTAAAATACACCGTTTCCCGAAAACTAATTCGTACGGTGTGAAACCCGTTTCACTATGGACAGAGGTATTAAAAAAAAAAATCCAAAATGGTAACCATGTATCTGGACGATTTTCCGTTTGTATTCTTAAATAGTTACCTAAAACTTTGTGCGTATTTTCAAGAGCACCAATGGTTTGATGATGATAAGCAGTTGACAATAATTTCTTGATATTAAGAAGTTTACATACCTCTGCGAATACTGCTGATGTGAACTCCGTACCCCGATCTGTGGCGATTACCTGTGGTATTCCATACACTAATATACATTTTTCTACAAACTGTTTCGCAATTTCTTTAGCACTTTTTGTTAATAAGGGACAGGTTATAACATATTTACTTAATTCACATTGAATTGTCAATATATACGAGTAATTAAAATTATCTCTTTCTAAAGGTCCTACGGTATCAATAAATATTTTTTCAAAAGCCGAGTTTGCCGTTGTCGTGATTTCCATTGGTTCTTTTACATATTTACTTGTATATTTTTGTTTTTGACATTTATCACAACGTTTTACAAACTTTTCTATATCGTTGATTAATCCCGGCCAAAAATAATATTTTCTTATATTATTAAACATTCGCCTGATGCCTGCGTGGCCACTCGTAGGCAAGAGGTGAAAATCGTTTAAAATAACTTTTCTATCATCTTTATTTTCAATTTTCGTTACATTTTTTAATACACATAATCGTGGTCCGGACCATTTACTTTTTCTAGTAATTTCCTTCTCTAGCTTCTCTATAAAAATATAATTATTTTTATTTAAAAAAAAATATATTTCTTCCACTTTAATTTCACTACACATAACATTCAGTTCTCTCGCAAAAGCGCTTGGCGTCGGTTGCGATTGAGTAACTGGTTTTATATAAATTATTCTTTTTGAAGGAACATAACATAACATAGAGCTTTCATTTTTTATTTCATTTGATTTTCGTAATTGTGTTAAACTCAAGTTGTCTATAAACTGTAATTCTACAGAATCGTCCGGTTTGTTATATATTTCTAAGACTTTTGGTTGATCAGACCGATTATCATCAGGAACAATAACATCCCTTGGATTCTCATTTAATTTCTTACTCTGTGCTCGCGTCATAACATTCATACATGTACTCAAATCTTTCAAGTCTTTCGATGTTACACACAACCTAGACAACGCGTCTGCAGCCGCATTATCTTTGCCTTTCACGTACTCTACCGTAAAATCATACTCTTCTAATATCATTCTAAATTTCATAAACCGACTGGATGGGTCTTTCATACCGAAAAGATAAACAAGTGGTTTGTGGTCAGTTAAAATATTAAATGTTAGTAGATGGTGATTGGGCATTCTACCCCACTTTCGTTCGCTCGGGCTCGGATATTCGTTACCTCGTTTTTTCATTCCACTTCAATTATCTAATAAATAAGAAACCAAATCTCCAACCAGTTTGTAAATTGAGGAACCCTCTGCCGATATGCACTCACGGGATGATAGAATGTCCAATATTACAAATGGATATTACATTCATTTGATTACGTATCTTTTTGACTAAAAGCATATAATATTTTTGATTATTCGCGCTTTATATAAATAGTGGAATTTGTATAAATTGACTCATTTTATGTAGAACACTCGAAACACTACTATGAAATTTGTAAAACAATCTCAAACGTTGCAATTGAATAAAATTTGTTCAGATACTGAGACAGTTATTTCTCGACATGGAAACTTGCTTCCTAATTCAATTCGGTGTTTAGTTTGCGGTCCATCAAACTGTGGAAAAACAAATTTAATAATAGGTCTTCTGTTGCATGAAAATGGATTACATTTTAAGAATGTATATTTATATTCAAAAACACTGTATCAAACTAAGTACATTTATTTAGAGAACGTCTTTAAATTGATACCTAGCGTTACGTTTGCAAAGTACAGTGATAATGAATTGATTCTCAGTCCACACGATGCTAAGCCCCATTCTATAATAATTTTTGATGATGTTGCATGTGAGAATCAAACTAATATGCGAGATTATTTCGCTATGGGCAGACATAAATTTATTGATTGTTTTTACTTAAACCAAACATATAGTAAAATACCAAAACAACTAGTAAGGGGCAATGCAAACCTTATAATATTATTTAAACAAGATGATATAAATTTACGACATGTATGAACACGTGAATACAGATATGTCGTGGCTGGAATTTCGGGAAATGTGTTCAAAAATTTGGAAAGATACATATAACTTTTTAGTCATTAATAAAGATTATGCAAAAAATGACGGTTGCTACAGAATGAACTTTGACACCTTCGTTACTTTCGACAAGTAACCAAATAAAATCACTTTAAATCTAGAAAATATTTCATTTAAGAAATAAAGCTATAAGATACAACACATTCCATAACTCAAGCTACTGTTCTTTCAAAACGGAAAAGTAATTAAAAGCTGAGGTTGTTCGAGCTGCAGAAAGTGTCAAAAAGAAGCTAAAGGAAATGCGTATGAGGGAATCTTATCAAGAAAACATGTCAAAAACTGTTTTTCAACCTATCACCAAACCACTTCATCAAATAGTTCATCATAACACAAACCCTTCAAAATCTAACAAATCTAAAGTCCATGAAGTACTAGAAGATGATGTTTTGAATAAAGATCCGGAGGATACATATTTTAAACGTAACGATTCCATATCCATGTCCCATGATAGCGATTCTGATGACAATATTGATGAAAACAGTCTCGATGGTCAAAATAAAAAAAATACCAGTGATGCATCGTTTGCAACTGTCGAGTCCCTCCACAGTCCTAACCGAGATGTTTCATCTTGGTCATTATCTTCGGAAGTGTTTGAGGATATCCCTTTTGGTGTTAGAAGAGAACGAGGTAAACTATTGATGGGTAACTCACGTGTGACAGTTCATGTGGAGAATGTATCCGTAGCAGGTCGAGTATACAAGAAAACTCCTGGGTTATGTGAACTTTTGTTCAAGAGAGTTCCTGAATTAAATTTGGTTACAGGTAAAGATTCGCAAGTTTATAAAGCAATATTGTTAGAAACAAATGCTCATCGTAGAGATTATGATTCGAATAAACCAATAAAAACAAATCGAGGTCGAAAGGATTTGCAAATACTAACTAAACTACTAACTTTAGACCTGTATCCGTGCTACCTACGTTTAGTAAGATTTTTGAAAAAATCATGCTGGATCAAATACAAACGTACTTTTACAAGAATAAGCTTATGAATCGACAACAATTTGGTTTTACAAGGGGTCGCTCAACAACCGAAGCCGGTGTCGAGTTAATACAAGAAATTTTTAATGCCTGGGAGGATTCACATGATGCGTTATGTGTTTTTGTGACCTATCTAAGGCATTTGATTGTGTTTTTCATGAAACATTGATTAGGAAACTGCATTTTTATGGATTTAGAGATAACTCATTGGATTTTATTGTCTCATACTTGACTGACAGAGTACAGAGGGTTGATATCAATGGCAAAGATCCCCTGGATCGAAAATTAAGATGGGCGTTCCGCAGGGCTCAATGCTTGGTCCTTTCTTGTTTTTGATTTACATAAATGACTTGCCTTATTTCGTAAGGGATGATCACGAAATAGTTTTGTTTGCGGATGACACTTCACTCTTGTTTAAAATTAAAAGAGGGTTACCTCTAAATGACGATGTGAACAATTCTATCGCTAAAGTAGTTCATTGGTTTAATGTAAATAATCTTCTCCTTAATGAAGGAAAAACAAAATGCTTAAAATTTGTACTACCTAATGTTAAAAAAGTAGATATAA